TATTTTTTTACATAAATTTATAATAAAAAAATATATTTATTATATTTTTCACTTATACGAAATACCATATTAAAAAACATCGTTATATAAAAAAGTGACAACGCACAGCACTTGCGCTTTAATCGTTCGACTTGAGCGAGTAGTGGCTGCAAACCGCGCGATCCTCTGCCAATCAGAAACATTGAGTAAGAGGGATACAATGTCATCTTCCGGCATTTTCTAAAGGTTCAAAAACAAATGTCCCCACCCGGCATGACATGTTGGACCAGCTTGACATTTTCCAGTTTCCACGCCTTAGAACCTTTAACTGGTATTTTAAAAAAAAAAAATAGTGAAATGATATATGACATGATATAACACCTCTAGTTGGTTTACATTTTTTTTTTTAACAAATTATCAAGGGCGGGTTCGAAGTTCGTTCATAAAAAAACAAGATAAATGCACCTTAAATTAATAAATTATCAATTCACTCTAATGGTAAAATGCAGTTAGTTTATGATATTTTATTTTGAAAAGTTGTATAAATAAAAATGTTTTTTTTTGAACATAATAAAAATGTTTTATAATAACTAGATCTGAAATTTATATTAAACCAACAAATTTTTTCTTATTAAGTTTTAAAAATGTGTAAAAACTGTTATTTAAATTATTTTTTTTGAACAAATTTACAAAGAGTCGGATTCGAACCGTTATTCTGGGAGTGAGGGAATGCACTTATACGTGACCTGACGTCACTGGACCGAAGGTCCAAATGCTTTATTTAAATTATTAATAATAATTAACCCTAATAATTACATATCAATTTCACTCAAACTTTAAACTTAAGGTTAGATTGGAAGCGTAACAGTTATATTATTATACCTTACATTATATTTAGAATTATTGTACGCCTATAGTGTAATTCAACGAATCGATAATTCGCAGTTACTCCACATACTCCGGTACTGTTATTAGCTTTTCAACTATAAAGACTAATTTGCCCCTCTCTTTATCAACTCAAAATCTAGCTTTGTTTCGGTTTTCCTCTTCTTTGTAGGAGGCCTTCGATAAACTCGATTCAAGAATTTGATTTCATATTTCCTAAAATCGGAATGTTTATATTTTATATATGTATGAAGGGATTCATTTAGATTATATTATACATAAATAAATATATATGTATATATATAAGTACGAATTCATTAATACACTAAATTTTATATATTACACTTATATAAAATTTTGTTAATTTATATCTTTATTTTCTATCGTTAAAATTTATTATAATTTTTTAGAAAAAAATAATTATTTTTAATAAATATAAATAAATTTTAATTGTTAAGAATAAAAAAATTAATAATTAAAATTTTATATAAATATAATATATAAAATTTATGTATAAATAAATTTTTACTTATATTTATATATATTGACTCTTCATCCCTGGTGAAGAAAGATCTCTGTGTTTGATAAAATTTAAGAAGTGATTTACTTTAAAAAATAAATTCTCTCTCATAAAATCAAAATTATATTAGAGAGAAATTTAAAAATTAACTTTTCAATAGCATTTAAATAAATTTAAATGTATAATTTTTTTCAAACTTTGTTTTAAAATCACTTTAAAACGAATTTTTAAACTTTCCTTTAACAATATTTTAGTTTTAAAATTTATACTAGAAGAATTTACTTTCTAAATATTTGCTTTTTAAGTTTTGTTATACACTCTCAATTTTGCAAACTGAGTCTAATACGTGGGGGAAATAGGGGCAAAATAGTCCTTAAAACTGAAATTTGCTTTCTTATTCCAAAATCTTTTCGGTGGTAATAAACTTGATCCACAGAAAGATCCAGCTCTATATAATATGGAGGAAAATTTTGAAGAGCATCGCGCTTGTAAATACTAAATAATAGGAGCACAGAAATAAGGTCATTTTAGTTTGCCAGGTATATGATGACTTTCCTTAAAATCTACGAACATCGAGTTTGTCGTACCAATGGCAGAAGTAAAGGCAAGAGAAGTTCTTCTTTCCCCATTCCTAAACGTGGATCCAGATGTTCACGAATCGAACAACTGGTAAATTTTTATTTTATTTTTTTGGGTAAATTTGATCGAATGATCTAAGGTTGGAACATGGAAGTTTCAGCCACGTCTACGTCAGGTTTAGCCATTACATTTTGTTAAGGCTGCTGGATATATGGGAGAATGAAAGGGAAATTGAAAATTGTAATAATTAATGTTTTAATTGTAGCTGTGGAGGAAGAGGACTATGCAGAAGATGGAGAGGAGCATGAAGAAGTTGAAAAAGGAAATGGAAGAGATAGGTGAGGAGCAAAAACAAATAAAGGAGGGGCAGAGGCAAGTTAGGGAAAAATTTGAGGCGATGGAAGAAGAATGCAAGCAGCTCCGCATGGAAACCTGGCAAATAACAATGTAGAGCAAGAACACCCAACTTCATCTTGCCCTTATGTTTTAGATCCTCAAGGCTAGGGAGAACAATGATCTTGTTAGAGCTACTGAACTTACTCGATTTCTCCAGTTAGTCCCATTT